TCCTCCTCCTCCTCCTGCTTCTCCTCCTCCTTCTCCTCCTCCTTCTCCTCCTCCTCCTCCTCCTCCCTCCTCATCCCCTGGCTGCCCCCGAGGCCGTCCGAGGCTGCCTGGAAGTCCAGCCAGAGACGCCAGAGCAGTGCCGCGCGGGCCGCTACCGCTACCTTTGCCTCGTTTTCGCCTTTTTGGGCCTCCTGGGAGGCCCTCGTCACCACCGCTGGATTCGCCTCGACATTCTGGTCAGAACGCACCCGGGGAGAGGTCCGGGGAGTAGCGGTATCGGTACCTTTTTGTCTGCCCAGGGAAGAAACGAGGGGCTTGCATCTTTAGAGCATTGTCAAGCCTCATTCATTCAATCAAAGGGCTGTCAGAGTGTTCAGTGTCATGGCATCCACAATGCGAGTCTGAGGTCTTCAAGCTCCGCCGTGAGCGAGGCGGCATCATGTGTGGTAGCACGATGGCTGCAGGGAGACGGAACAGCAAAACCAGCTGCAGGAACGCTCGGAGGTCCGCGCGGATACTCCGGGGTCGGCGCCGGGCCCCTCTGGCGGAGGCTTCCGGCGCCGCCCCTGGCGCGCTTCGGGTGCCAGGGGAGGGGGGGGGGCGGAAGCGCCGACCCCAGAAATATGCGCGCGGGCCACCCGGGGGCCTGCTGTGTGCCGCGGTCGGGCCGAGGTCTGAGATCGACGTCGGGCCGGGGAGGGTGCCCTCGTGTTCTTTGTGTTCGTGGGGTGTTCCTGTGCCTCCTGGGGAGGGTGCCCCTGGACGTCCGGTGTGCTTTGGCCGGCGCAGGGCATCATGCTCTCGGAGGATGTTGCGGACGGGGCACGGACGAGGATAAATCCGTTCCAGAGCGTTCCGGAACGCTCTGAGAAGGTGGCGGCGCCCGATACATCTTCCAGAGCCGCCAGATCTCAGAGATGCTCGATGTACGTATCCTCACCCGATGTTGTCCTCGTCCTGGCCTGGCCTCGTCTGAATTCATGTTCTTCTGTCCTGAGTCAAGGGAGGAAAAACCACCCAGACCGGACAATTGGCGTTTACTAAACGGCCCTGCATGGGCGTTTATTGAACAGCTCTGCCCTGTTTGATTCCTTCTCTGGGCGCGTTTACTAAACGGCCTCGCGTGTCGGGGTGGTTATTATCGGGGTGGATTTTCTGCCCCCTACTGAGGGGACGCGCCTGCGGGCCACCGAGTCGGTCTGCGCGTTGTGCAGCGTGTCGTGCTGCCTCTTCGGGAGGGGGGGGGGCAGGGAGGGGAAGGGGGCGGTCGCCCTTCCAGAGCCGCTGCGCCACCTCTTTCTGCAGATCGACGACGACGACGACGACGACGACGACGACGACGACGACGACGACGACGACGACGACGACGACGACGACGACCGCGCTGTCATCGCATCGTCCCCCTCCCCCTCCTCCTCCTTCTCGCCGCCTGCGCTCTCGAGCTGCCCCTGGCGCTGGTCCTCGAGTCGCCGCGCGTCCTCGTCTCTGCTGCGGGCGGCAACGCTAACGAGGCGCAGCTAACGGAAACCACCCCACCGACGACCTCGACGACGTCCAAGACGACGACGACGACGGCGGCGGCGGCGGCGGCGGCGGCGACGACGACGACGACGACGACGACGACGACGACGACGGCGACGGCGATGGCCACGGCGACGGCGACGACGGCGACGGCGACGAGCCCAACACCCTCCGACAGCGACCGAACCCGTCCGAAAATAGAGGGGTCGCTCGGAGCAGGGAGGGAGGGACGGAGGAGCCCCCCCCCTCCACCCCCCCGCTCCGTGACCCCTCGGCGGCCGCAAGGCGAGATGGCGGCCCCGTGGGTGGGCAGGCTGAGTCTGGACTCCCTGATCATCTGCTCCGACGCCTCGCTCGGGGGCGCGCCTCTCCCTGGGGTGGGGCGAGGAGGGGGAGGTTGCGCCTCCTCATCCCCCGCTTCCTCCTCCTCCTCCTCCTCCTCCTCCCTCCTCCTCCTCCCTCCTCCTCCTCCCCCTCCTCCTCCTCCGCGTCCCTCCTCCTCCTCCTCCTTCCTCTGCTCCTCCTTCCTCCTCTCCTCCTCCTCCGCCTCCTCCTCCTTCTCCTCCTCCTCCTCCCCCTCCTCCCCCTGCCGCCCCGCGCTGTCAGGAAAACACGGCGGAGTGGTTTGATAGTTGCTTGTACTTGTATTTTTCAGGGGACCTTCGTCAGGCCCCAGGACCGTCAAAGCACAGTCCAGGATGAAAATCCGTTCCAGATCTCCAGTGGCCCACGTTGGTGCACCAATCAGGACGTCCCCCCTTTCCCCTCGCCCAAGTCGTCGAGGAGTTGCAGGGGGAGAGCCAGCTGGCATAGTGCTGCTGGCTCTAGAGGCAATCCGACCTATCAATATGTGCGCTGGTCCTCCCCCCACTCCCTGCTCCCTCTCCTCCTTCCCCTCACCCCTCCCTTCCCTCCCTCCTGGCGAAAGATTCACCGCGTGCTTCAAGCCAAACGGGACATGTCCAAGGTCCATATTGTCGAAAGCCTTTCGGCGAGCAAGGCAGTGACGAAGGCCACATCACACCTGTCGCGGAGGTGTGCAACCGTCATGCCAATGAACTTGCCATTGCTGGGGCACGCTTGCACGCTTTACTTCACAGCCAGGTCTCATCGATGCAGCTAAATAGCGACACAACTTCGCGCCGCCGTCGCGATCTATGATGGGCGCCACCATAACCTTCCCCTGCCAGAGGACGGGCGGGCTACTCGATGGCCGAACTCAGCAGGATGCCCGCTCAGCCGCATGGCCCAACAGGTCCTGACTTTCCCAACAATCTCGAAGCTTCCTGGGGAGCCCCATTCGACGACTTCGAAGGCGAAGACCTGGACCCACTTGGGCTCAGAACGTCCTTGAACGACGATGGAAACAATGCTGCTCCACCGCGAGGTCACACTAGTCACGGGCATGACGCGGACGACGAGAGCGCAGCCTTGCGTCAGCCTGGACTCCCCGACGGTCTGGCGCATGCTGCGGACGTGCAGCAGGACCCGGCCCCTCTGGCCACGCTATCCCACCTCCGGGCCGCTCCCCCCTCCCACCAGGGTACCGGGAACGGCGGACCGCCCACAGGGCGGTCTTCCGCCCTACCGCGTCTCGTGGGGTTTCGCTCCAGAGAGAACTTCCGGGCGTACCTTGGTGCTCACCGTTCAGCGAACCAGTGCCAGCGTCCTCTCTCCCGTGTGTGCTGCGGGAGCGGCTGGCAACCGCTCCGTAGCTGTCACACTAGGCCGCCGCGGGGGGGGGGGCCTCAGAGCGGCGCCACGGCTCACAGAGGCACCGGGGCGCGCTTGCCGAAGCGCGCGAGCAGCCAGCGCCTGTTCGTCGCGTGTGCAAGCGGGCCCCTCGAGGGCCCTCTTCACCACAAGCCCGTTGTGCGTTCCAGCCGGGGTCCTCATCGACCGCGCCAATAGGAGGCCACATGCGAACCCTGCCCCATACCCCCACGATTTCTCAGGCGGAGGGTGGGGTTCACTTCGCTCGGGAGCTCCCGAGCGAAGTGAACCCCCTCCTCCCCTACCCCCCACGATTTTTCAGGGGGAGGGTGGGGTTCACTTCGTTGGGGAGGTTCTGAGCGAAGTGAACCCCACCCTCCCCCTGAGAAGGGGGGGAGGGGGAGGGGTAGGATTCGCATGTGGCCCCCTGGCCGAGGGGGAGGACAGCACCCTGCCCCTGCCCTCTCTCTCCGCCGCGGCCCTCGCCTCGTGAGGAGGGCCTGCGCAGCTCCAGGCCGCGGTGGGGCCTGGACCAGACCTGGCCCGACTTGGTGCGCTCTCCCCCTTCCGTTCCCTCCTCCCCCTCCCTCCTCTCCCCTTCTCCCTCCTCTCCCTCTCTCCCTCTCCCCCCCCATCTTCCCCCTCCTCTCCCTCCCTCCACTCCCTCCTCTCCCCCCTTCTCCTCCCTCCGCCACACTTGCATAATACGAATGACACTCTCCTCTCTCCCCTGACTCTGCCCGGAGAGTGTCCCGCCCTCTCCGCGTATTGTTCTTGACACAGGATGACATGTTTTGTTTTTTTCCGATATGTTTCAATCTGGCCGTTCTTCCAAAGTGGCGCTCCCGCTGCAGCGCCGCCTTTGTTTCCGCGCTTCGGTCATTCAATGTCGTGTTCCCGCTGCAGCGCTGGCCTCGTTCCCGCGCCTCCAGCTGTTCCAAATCGTGCTCCCGCAACAGCACCGGCGTGTTCGGTCCTTCCAAGCAGCGCTGTCGCTGTAGCGCTGGCCCCGTTCCAGCGTTTCGGCCCTTCCAACTCGTGCTCCCGCTGCAGCGGTGGCCTCGTTCCCCTCTTCGGCCCCGGCCTCGCTCCCGCGCTCCCAGTCCTTTTGAAATCGTGCTCCCGCTGCAGCGCTGGTCACATTTCCGTCGGCTCCGGCCGCATTCCCGCGCTTCGGTTCTTCCGAGTCGTGCTGCAGCGCTGGTCTCTTCTTCCTGTGTGCGGTCCTTCCCGGCCATGCTTCTCCATCCATGTGTTCCATCCATCGCGTACCCCCTTGGGACCATCGCCCTGCTCGTGCGAACAGAGAATTCTGCGCCCTGGTGAGGGGTGGGAGGGGAGGGGCGTCAGATGTGACGCTGGCGCCCCTGGCCTGCCCCCCCCCTCCCTCCCCCCCTCCCCCTCCCTCCTCCCCTCGCCCCCCTCTCCGCCCAGAGCCCAGGGGCCCCCCTGCGCCCCCCCCCCCCTCCCCCCGCCAGGCACCTTCCTGGCGGTGCTCCTCAAGCTGCAGTCCAGCCGCTCCGCGGCGGGGCTCTCGCTGCAGACGCGCCGCCCCCGCCCCCGCCGCCCCCGCCGCCGCCCCTCGATCCCGGACGCGCCCGCGCCGCGAGGCAGACGCACCGCGGAGGTCGTGGGCCGCTGTCGGCCCCCCGCCGGGGGGGCCCTCGCGCCGGGCCCCGGCGCCTGGGGAGCATCCCCCGGGCGCGCCCGCGCCGCGGGGCAGAAAAGCACGACGGAGGTCTTGGGCCGCCCTCGGCCCCCCGGGGGGGCCCTCGCCGGGCCCCGGGGCCGGCAACAGAAACGGCTCTCGATGGAGAGCTGGCCCTATGTACAGGGAACGGGCCGGGGCTCGAAGGGGCGCCGCGTGGAACCAGAACAGGGCATCGCACGTCCGGGGTTGGGGTGGCCAGTCCGTCGCCGCCCCCCCCCCCTCCCCTGTGCCTCCAGAGGCTGGCATGGGGCCCAGGGGCCGTCCAAGGTGCGCAGAGGAGAGGGCCACGTTTGGAAGCGGGCCACGTGAGGACACGGTGGTCGGCTTTCGGGAGGCCCCTTCGCCGCCACGGCTGGACGCAGCTCGGGGAACTGGCGCGTTCTTGGCACCCCCGGGCGGGGCCGACGTTGAGCTGCCGTGGTCTCGCGGAGCCCGTGCTGCCGCTGGGGCGTGGAGGCCTTGTCCTTGGCGGCAGTATCGTTCAACCGATCCCCCACCTCCATCTCCATCACCATCCCACCCCCATCCACCACCCTCCCCATCTCCATCACCATCCGGATCCGCACCACCCCACCACCCCAGTTGGGGAGACGCCCCTCGAGACTCGAAGGGGGCAGCTCGTATCGCCCCGTGGCTCCCTCGCGAGTGCCCTGACGGCCGGCGGCGCCTGGCGAAGGAGCTGACCTCCACGTGAGCCATCGCAGCAACACCAGCCACGTCGTGACTCTTCAGACTGTTGCCACCAGCGAGGCGCACCTTGCCTGAGCTGGCCCACTTGCCAGGGCGTCTTGGCGTTCCTGTGCCCTCGCGCTCGGTGGCGGCCATGCTTCCCAGGCCTTCGCCTGCGGGCTCAGGACTCTCCCGGGTGTCTCCCACGCCCGTTGCGGTCTTCGGCTGTCGCAGAAGGCAGCTTGCGCCGGGTCGCGCTTCCAGCTGTCTGCCCGGCAGTCGTTCTTCTCTTCGCGGGTCATGTTGCGATGCTGCACCTCCTCCGTGGTGTTGCCGTAAGTAGAAGAGTGGGCGGCCTCGACCTCCTTGCCGTCGCTGTCTGGCACATGTGCAGAAGCGACGAGGTCACCCTCGACCATGCTCTGCAGGCCGTTCTTCGGCACGTGGTCGCCCTCCTACAGCTCCACGCCGTGCTTCGCAGGCCTCCGGCGTTCCGGGTCAAAAGTCTCTCAGCAGCTCGGCCTGCTCCTCCAGCAGACCGCTCCGCCTCCGCGCGCTTCCGCTTTTGCGCTGCCTGCAGGCAGGCAGCCCTGGCAGTCGTGCCCGCCCGGATGTCGCGGTCCAGCCCCTGGCATCGCTCGGACGTGTGCATGTTTCCTTCGTCGAGGACCATCGAGGAGCATCCTTGATCATGTGGCGAAAAAGCCACGCACGAAACCGGAAAAAAACACAGGGAATTTACGTCCGAGCGATGGCAGGAGCCGAGCATCCCGGCTTTCGAACGGAAGGTCGCCGCCGCTCCCGCTCGGCAAGAGATCCGCGGTTGCTCGCGCAGAGGCTCCAGTTTCCCGAGGCTTGTCGTCCACCGGCTCAGGCCCGACGTCGCTCTCCTCGCCGTCCCAGTCAGGGCCTATCCAGTCCGGGGAAGTGAGAAAGGCTTGGCATCGCTCGGACGTGTGCATTTTTTTTCTCGGCGAGGACCTTCGAGGAGCATCCTCGACCATTTGGCGAAAAAAACACGCACGAAACCGAAAAAAAACAGAGGGAATGGACGTCCGAGCGATGGCGAGAGAAGGCCCTGCCTTCCGAGAGGTGCTCTGTGCACTCCCCGACGGCACGAGACATTTCTCGGACGGCGCGAGGGGCTTCCGAGGAGCCCCGCCGCCTTCTGAGAAGTCCTTCCCCTTCTCACTGCTCCCCCTCGCTCGCTGCCGACAGTCGCCCACTGATCGCCGATGGGGGGGGCCGGCAGCTCGCCCCGCCCAGGATCGTGCCGAATCGCCATCGGGGGGCCTGCCGCCGACCTGTCGGCGATGCATCGACAACTCCAGGCCCATGCTTCACCCCTGAGCTGGCCCCTTCTCACTCCCCCCCCCCCCCTGGCGTCGCTCGGACGTGCGCATGTTTCCTTCGGCGAGGACCATCGAGGAGCATCCTTGATCATCTTGAGAGAAGCACCGCGCAGGAAACCGAAAAGAGGAACACAGGGAATGGACGTCCGAGCGATGGCCCCCCGCCGCCGAAGGACGGCGTGGGAGGCCCCCTTTTGCGTTGTCGCCGCCGCGCGGCTGCGCGGTTGCCTGCGCGAGCCGGCGTGCCCGCGGGCAGGCGCGCGGCGGGGCGACGCGCGGAGGCGTTCCGCTTGCCGCCGAGAGGAGAGCCCCTCTCCTCCTTGCTCCTCCTTGCTCCTCCTTGCTCCTCCTTGCTCCTCCTCCTCCTCCTCCTCCTCCTCCTCACTCCTCCTCCTCCTCCTCCTCCTTCCTACTCCTTGCTCCTCCTCCTCCTCCTCCTTCCTCCCTCCTCCTCCGCCTCCTCCTCCTCCTCCTCCTCCTCCTCCTCCTCCTCCTCCTCCTCCTCCTCCTCCTCCTCCTCCTCCGTCGTCCTCCCTCGTCCCTCGCCAGCTCTCCCCCTCCCTCCTCCTCCCTCCTCCTCAAAAAAGGCTGGCACGGGGCCTGCCCGGCGCCAGGCTGGTCACCGTGGTCGCGGCGAGGACCCTCCACCTGGCCAGCCATTTTCTGAAGCTGCACTACCAGGACGCCGCGGCTGCGCTCCCCCCCCCCTCCCTGGCCCCCTGGAAGGAGGGGGAGCACTAGAGGGGGGAAGGGAGGAGGAGGAGGAGGAGGAGGAGGAGGAGGAGGAGGAGGAGGAGGAAGAGGAGAGGAGAGGAGGAGGAGGAAGAGGAGGAGGAGAGGAGGAGAGAGGAGGAGGAGGGGGGGGGAGAGATGGCGAGGGACGAGGGAGGACGATGGAGAAGAGGAGGAGGAGGAGGAAGGAGGAGGAAGGAGGAGGAAGGAGGAGGATGAAGGGTGAGGAAGGCGGAGGAGGAGGAGGAGGAGGAGGAGGAGTAGGAGGAGGAGGCGGAGGTGGATGATGAAGGAGGAGGAAGGAGGAGGACTGAAGTGTAGTGCGAATGCCCTTGAGGGTAGGCAAAATTCTGCGAATGTGCTCGTGAAGGTTGGGATGACAGCCTTCTGGTTTCAGAACCTGTGCAGGGACTGTTGTTGGCACCTGGCTTTGGTGGTTGGTACGCATGGTCAGCATACCCCCAAACTGCCACCTCTGGTCAACAAATTAGGTTTGGCGGAGGTGCGGGGCTATGAAATAACATGCCCCGCTGCTGATGTTACTTCTGAGTGGCTGTGAAATGGCATGCCACCCTCTCCCGGAGTGAGGTATAGAACTCCGACCCGCATTCCCGAGGTGTTCACCAGCACGGAAAGCCTTACACCCCGCTGCTTCTCCCCAGGTGCAACGCGCGATACTGGCCACCAGTGGGCCCAAACAATTTCTGAACACATCGCCCCCCCGGCCCCAACTGTTCAGAAATTTGTCCAGGGTCACCCCGCGTTCCCCCCCAGTGCAGTGAGCCCCTTCTCAGGGCCATGCTGGCGGTCGCGGACGGCCACTGACCTCAGAAGGCCGCGTGGGGCCCAAGGTCACCAAGGGCCGGCCGGGCCTCGAAATGTGTGGAGGACCGCGGGTATTGCCCCTGGGCTGTGTCCTGCAGGACAAAAGCTCCAGCGTCGTTGCCAGGCTGTGCCCTGACTTGACTCACAGGGGGGGAAGTGTGCAGGACTGCTGGCGCTGCCGCTGGGCTGTGTCCTGGAGGTCAACACCCCCGACCAGGCGTGCAGTCCCGCCAGCTCAGTGTCTTGGAGGGCGGAATGACCGACGTGTCCAGTGGAAGCAACACCCCCAGAGTTGTCGCCGGCCTGTGCGCGCGTGCCTCGTGCGAAAGGTGTGCAGGACCTCCGGCATTGCCGTTTGGATGTGCCCTTCAAGCAGTGGCGAAGCGTCCCGGCTCGCCTGTAGGCCCTCCAAAGAATGTTCGAAGAACCTTTCGTGGTTTGCACGAAATGTTCTTGGCACATTTCTGATTCAGACTGTCTTGATTTTTCACATCGGCTTAATGTTCTAAGAACATTGTGTTTGTTATAAGAACATTTGTGGGTTCTAAGAACATGTTTTGATTCGCGGGTCGAGAGCGCACCTCTTCCGGTCGATGGGTTCTAAGAACTTGTTGTGTAGGACTATAGGAATGCCGGGACGGACGGTCCCTGCTCAAGTCCTGGAGGTCGGCCCCATGGCGTGTCATAATGCGAACAACGCTGCCAGCATTGTCGTCGGGCCGCGTCCTGGAGGCCAATAGTACGCAAGGAGGTGTAAGCGTGAAGGGCCGTCGGCATTGCCGCTGGGCTGTGTCCTGGATGCCAGAACCTCTGACGCGTCGATTGGAACTGTCTTCGGATTTGGTCGATGGAGTTATGCTCCCTGTTTTCTCCTGCCTCAGGGTCGAGATAGACGAACGTCCTCTACGTGAGGGTTTGAGGACCGCCGGCCTTGCCGTCGGGCTGTATCCGTGAGGCTCGCGCTTGGCGACGAGGGTAGGCGTACTTAGTCTGTGGACGCACGAAATCTGGCGATGCCGACAGCATGCGTCCAAAAAAGGACGATCCTTAGTAGCGGCTCGACGTGAGATTGTGCTGCAGGACCGCCAGTGTTTCGGCCGGGTTTTTCTCTTTGAGGCAGGGTGACTCGCATGTGGGGTGTTCGCGGATGATTTGTGGATGCACGAAATGTGGCACTGCCGCCAGCCTGTATCCAAAAGGAGACAACCGTGGTTGTCGGTTAAGTGTGGTGGCATGCACGACCGCCGGCCTTGCCGCCAGGCAACGTCCTTGAGGCAACAGCCTCGCGACGGGGGTTAGGCGTGCATAAACTGCGGACGCACGATTGCTGGCATTGCCGCCAGCCACCGCCCAAAGGGGACGAACCTTGGTGGCGGTGCGACGTTAGGGCGTGCCGGACGGCCAGCTTTGCCGCCGGCCAGCGACCTTGATGCATCTGCTTCGCGACGGTGGTAAGCGCGCAGAATTGGCGAGGAGGACGACCAGCGCACACCCAAGACGCGTCAACGATGTTGGAATCAACCCTCCCACCAAGAACCCTGTTCATAGAACCCTACAAGGGGGTTCATGTCCACTCAAGCGTGCCAAGCACCGTTCTCGGGACTGCAACGCCACGAATTTACATGACTGTTGCGCCTTGTTGATCCGGACTCGTGCCAGAACACCACTCCTGAGACTTCAGCCCCGCGACTCAACGTAACTGTTGCGGCCTCACAGTCCTGAGCCCTTCCACAACACCGCTTCTGACACGCTGGCAGCGGGAGCCCGTGAAACTCTGGCGACTGTTTAAGACGGGCGCGCGCGGCGCCAAGACGAGAGCCGCATTTTGACGACGAGCCTCCCACAAGCCGCCAAGCTCTCGCAGCGCTTGTAAAACGAATGTGCGCGGCGCTCAAGCGAGAGCCACATGTGATGACCACCCGCACTCAATCCGCGAAGCTCTTGCGAAGTCGTAAAACGAATGCGCGCGACGGCAACACGAGGGCCACATCCTGAAAACCACCCGCCCTCAATCCGAGAAGCTCCTGTAATTTGTAACACGAATGTGCGCGGCGCTAAATCGAGAGCGACATGTGATATCCACCCGCGCTCAATCCGTGGAGTCCTTGCAACCGCTTAACACGAATGTGCGCGGCGCGAGCGATAACCACGTTTCGAAAACGACCCGCCATCAATCCGCGAATATGTTGCAAATTTGTGAAGCGACTGTGCGCGGTGCGAATGCGAGAGCCACATGTTGAAAACGACCCGCTGTCAATCCGTGAAGTTCTCGCAACTTCTGTACAATGAATGTGCAATTTTTTGAAAATCACCCGCCTTCCATATGTGGAGGTTTTGGTAGTCTTTAAGCTTCAGGGTCAGAAATGGTGAGGAAGTGTTAGGCGAAACGCCCGGCCCGCCCTTCGACTGGTTTCTGGGCGCGACAGAAAGGCGTCATTTATAAGGAAAGGGAATGGAGGAGGAGGAAGAAAGAAGAAGAGGAGAAAGGGGAGGAGGAGGAGGGAGGAGGGAGGAGGGATGAGTGGAGGAGAAGGAAAAAGGGGGGAACGGCAGGAGCAGGAGGAGGAGGAGAGGGGGGGAGGATCTGAGTGAAGGCGTGGGTGGATGGGAAACGGGGAGGAAAAGCCAGAGCGGGAGGATGAGGAAGAAAAGGAGGGGGGAGGAGCCCCCTCTTCTTCCTCGCATGTTGTGTCTTTTCCCCACCTCTCTCCCCCATCTCTCTGTTCCGTCCTCGTCCCTTCCACATCTCCCCCCCGTCCACCCCCCTCCCCCTCCCCCGCAGCGCTTCTCCCCTCCTCTCTCGAGCACCCGTTCCCATCCATCTCTCCCTCGTACTCGCTTCCTCTCTCCTCTCCTCCCCCCGCTCTCATCCACCTGCCTCTCCTCGCTTCCTCTCGCCCCCTCCCCCGCGCGGATCGCCCCCCCCGTTCCGGGGCGCCGCCTCGGTGTGCAGAGCCGCCCCCCGCGCGCCTCCAGCCGACCGTGCTGCCCTGGATCCTGTACCCCCTGTTCGACGTGGTCAACGTCGGCCTCGGGATGGCCTGCGTCGTCCTGTTCGGGTGCGCGCTGCCCGCTCTTCCCGCTCTGGCGGAGGCTGGGGGGCGAGAGCGACGTGAAACGGAGACCCCTCCCTGGGAAAGCGAGCCTCACAGGTCGATCCGGCTCGGAGAAGCACGCAGAAAGGCTGGTTCCAGGGCTCCAGTCGAGTTTTGCCTGCGATGTTGCATTTCTGTTCGCCACGTCGGATCTCAGGGGTTGGTAGGGTGAGACCGAAGTGAAACGTAGGTCCCCACCCCAGAAGTAGGTCCGGTTTCGATTTGTGTCGCGCGCGACGTGCGGGCGAGGCGAGGGTTGCGAGTTCCCGCGCTAGCTAGGGCCATGTCAGGCCAAAGTGGGTCATTGGCCCAGTTCCGAAGAAGCATGCCCGGTGTTTTCCCGCGCGCGCCAGCGCAAGCCTGTGGTTGTCCCGTGCCGAGGGTTGTCCCGATAGTTGTCCCGATGGTTTTGTTGACGATTGTCCCGATGGCTGTCCTGCGCGCATTCCAATGGTTGTCCCGATCGTGAGTCTGATGGTTGTCATACCGCATAGAGGTCCAATGGTACAGTCGGGGCCCTGAAGAAGGAACCCTTCTCGTTGGGGAGGGGCTCCGTGTTCCTTAAGTGTTTCGCAGCTTGCCTCAGGTTCTCCTTCTGTTTTCGATCGGAAATCGAAGTTTAACTTATGGAAAAAAGGGGCCTCGTTCCTTATTTAAGGTTCCTTAGGTCAAGGCCCCGACTGTAGCAGGATGGAAAGGTAATGTCACCCGTGCGTCAGAAACTCCTACAGCCCTCTACAATTCACGATGGAATGCCACGGTGGGTCGCCGATTTCGGGGGCTGGGCTCACTCACTGGGCATTAAGCAAAGATCTCGAATCCTTACATACATTTCTGAGGGCACGCGCACTACGTACATACGTACACACATATATATATATATATATATATATATATATATATATATATATATCGGCGCACCGGGCTCGGGGGCCGAGGACCGGAACCTCGACCGCAAATGTGGGCCCTGGAGCCCAGGCCCGCCTTTGGGAGGCTTGAAATCGCCCCGGGGAGCCCTCAGACAGCAATCCTGGCGGCCCCAGACGGTCTCGAGACATCCCCAAGACGCCGTCCAGGAGTCTTTGGCGACGCACGATGCGTTCTAAACTGCCCCAGAGGCCCCCAAGACGCCCCAAGAGGCCTTTAAGATGCCGCCCAAGAGCGCCCCGAGAGTGCAAAACCGTTGATTTTCATTTGTTGTTTCAATGTGTTTTTGCATTCTCGCTGTTTCGTGTTTGCGGCGCTCAAGCACCGCCCAAGAGGCGCCCCAAACCGATCCAAGACGGCCCAAGAGGCCCCCAAGAGGGCCCGAAAATAACCCAAGAGAGCCCCGAGACGGCCCCAAAGCCGCCCAAGACGGCGCAAGAGGGTCCCAAGAAGGCCCCAAGAGGGGCCCAAGAGAGGGAACGCGAACTGAAAAATCAACCTCTCCGTCCCAAGATGCCCCCAAGAGGCCCCGAGAGGCCCCCAGGAAGCCCCCAAGAGACCCCAAGAGGCCCCCAAGAGGCCCCAAGAGGCTCCCAAGAAGCTCAAAAGAGGCTCCAAGACGGCACTCAAAAGGCTTCAAAACTCTTTCTAAGAGGCCCCCGAAGACACACACACACACATACATATATATATATATATACCTATATATGTGGATACACACATATACAGATATGTGTATATGTATACGTGCATGTACATATGATATATATATGTATATATATATATATATATATATATATATATACATGCATGCACACATGTATAAATATGTGCATATGTGTCTATATATACACATATGTGCATGTATGTGTATATATGTATTATATGTACATACACGTATACATACGCACATGTCTGCAAACTCGTGTGTGTATATATGTGTGTGTGTGCGCACCCACATATATATATATATATATATATATATATATATATATATATCCCTTGACCGAGGCGGGGGGGGGCCCGACGCGCCATGGGGGTGTCGGGGCGCCAGGGACGCTTCCAGACCGCCCAAGACAGCCCCAACACAGATGGAAAGGGCCGAAGAGGCCTCGAGGAGGCCTACTATCGGGGAGTTATCGTTCTAACACGCCCAAGTTGCCTCCGGATGGCCCGCACTCCCAAAAGGGCCCCAAGAAGCCCAAATCACTAATTTTCTTTTGGTTGTTGCTGCATTTTAGCGTTTCAGCCTTTTGGCATCCCGACGCTCCAAGACGGGCCAAGAGGCCCCCAAGACCGCTCCACGATAGCCGAAGAGGCCTCCAAGAGGGCCCCAAGACAGCCCACGAGGCCCCAAGACGGTGCCTGAGGCGCCCAAGACGGCCCGAGAGGGCCCCAAGACGGTCCCAAGAGAGGCCCAAGAATTGGAACGCGAACCCAACAGCAGAGTCTTCCGTCCTAAGAGTCCCAGAGAAGCCCCCAAGAGTCCCCAAGTGGTCCGACGAGGCCCCCATAAGCCTCCCAAGTGGCCCCAAAAGGCCCTAAGGACAAGTACAAGGGACCCCAAGATTACTCAGCAGTGCCCTCGTTGCATCAAAACTATCTGCAGGAGGCCCTCAGGAGGCTTCCGGATTGCTTCAGCATGGCCCCAGGCGCCCTCAAGTCGGGCTTCCACGCAGCCAAGACGGCCAATGACGGCTTCATATTGCAGAACAGCACCTTCCAATTGCCCAGAGAACCCCGACGATGCTCCCAAGGGACTCCAAGAAGCCCCAAGACGCCCCCCAAGAAGCACTCAAGAGGTGTCCCCAACAGCAAATTGAGGAAGCACGGAGAACCCCCCAGAAGCCCTTCAGATGCCCCCACGAAGACCCAAGAGGTTCCCAAGAGGCCCTCAGGAGGCACGACTATGTCACGCGCCTGTGCTTGATAGCGCTGTCCAAGATCTTCCAGCGCCCCCCCTGGCCTGGGCTAGAACTTGAGCGCGCGCGAAGCGCGCGATGGTTCTAGTATACATATATATATATACATATATATATACACATAGATCTACATACATACACACTTGTAGATGTACATATATATATATATACATATATGTACACATAGTTGTATGCTTGTGTACATATATAGATGTATATAAAGATCAATGTAGCCCGATGTAAGTCCAATGCGAGCCCAATGAGTTGCTAATCCCCTCAGAAAATCCTCATCACCCCCAGTGTGGTTTACGCCGTAGAGATTGGAGAGGCCTTACGGCCGGTGTCGCCGACCCTGAACGACGACGACGACGACGACGACGACGACGACGACGAGCGTTCTCGGGGGCCTCTTGGGGTAGTTTTGGGGCCTCTTGGGATGCTCTTGGGGGCCTCTTCGGAGCTTCGTGGAAGCCTCCTGGGGGTCTCTTGGGGGTCTCTTGGGGGCCTCTTGGGGCCTCTAAGGGACTTCTTGCCGGCCTCTGGGGGCCTCCTGGGAGCCTTTCAGGCCGAGGGCTCGACGGGTGCTTTTTGCCGTGTATCTATGCATGTACCTATTATATATATATATATATATATATATATATATATATATGTATAGCCAACGCGGTTGCGGATGAGAGTGAAGGGGCGGCGGGCTCCTCGGCAGTCCGCCGCAGGCGCATGCCCACATTTCTCCCAGCACAACGAACCCGCCGCAGTCGTCGAATTTGCGACAAAGCAACGTGGGTGGGTCGCGGGATGCGTCGAGGGCAGGACGACGACAACGCAAACAAAAACACCAACAGGGAGCCTCACCGCGGAACTCCACTTCAGCCACGCACCCAGGAACGGTGTAAGGCCGTTCGGCCCCCGCACTCTGATATCTGTAAAATGATCGTCGGGCCCCAACGTGTGGTCCAACATGTAGCCACAATGCAAAGTCTGTATCATTTGTTGAGGGATGTTCGGCCGCCATGTGAGTGGGAGAGGGGTGTTTATCAGGAAGGGGCAGTGGCACACCCCCTCCCCGCAGGGGAGGAAAGAGGTTTGAATACCAAATTCGTCATTCGTTAAACCACCTACACCCAGATGGCTGGTGGGATTATCGCACTTCTTGGTTCTTATATTCTAGAAGCTTCGCGTAACCCCACCAGTTCATTTTCTGCCTTCCCGTGCGCTGTGCCCCAGCCTCGTTCACACCGCCCTCTGGACTTTTCCTTGCGGGCCGCGAATATAAAGTAACCCCACCAGCCCATCGAGAAACGATGCCCAGGCGAGTTGCCCTGATCAGGGATGTGGAGGAGCCTGCAGTGGAGCGAAAGGGCTGGGGAAGTCGTCATACCCAGTACTAAGGTGGAGGAAGGAGGTGGAATCGGATGATGATGATGATGATGATGATGATGATGATGATGATGATGATGATGATGATGATGAGGATGAGGATGAGGATGAGGATGAGGATGAGATGATGATGGATGAGGATGAGGATGAGGAGGATGAGGAGGAGAGGGGAGGAGGAGGAGGAGGAGGAGGAGGAGGAGGAGGGAAGGGGAGGGGGAGGAGGAGGGATAGGCGGATGTGGAAAAGGAGGAGGAGGAGGGAGGAGGAGGAGGAGGAGGAGGAGGAGGAGGAGAAGGAGGGCGAGCAGAAAGGCCAGAGGTCTCCTGGATGCCTCTCGGAGTGACCTCGGACGTCTCTTGAGATCTTCTCGGAGTTACTTTGGGCGTCTTGGGGGCTCTTGCTCTTGGCGGTCGGGGGGGGGGGCCTCTTGGAGCGTCTCGGGTGCCTCTGGGGAGCCTTTTGGGGCCTCTCGGGAGTCTCCTGAGAGCATCTCGGGGACCTCTTGGAGACCTGGAGCCTCCGGGGCGCTTCTTGGGGCCCTCTTGGGACGCTCTTCGGAGCTTGGGAGGCCATCTTGAGGCCATCTTGGAGGAGCCCGATCAAGGAACAGGGGGGCGTAACCCCGCCAGCCCATCCAGAAACGATGCCCAGACGAGTTGCCCTTATAGGGTCCCACGGTCACCTAATGTGGGGTCTCTACTTGGTCCTACTCTTGGGGTCTTCCGAGGCCTTATC